ACGATGGCTATAGTCGTGCAGTCCGGTCAAACATGGTAATGACGGTGATGCATCCCGTGTGCGCCCTTCGTTCAGAGTGCTTCTGGATATTGGCGCCGGGGGAGGCACCTTGAGGCTTCCGCAAGTCGCCCTCGGACTAAGACATTCACATGCTCAAAGATCCCCGCATCACTCCCGGCGACAACGTCATGTGCGACTTTGCATGACAGTTTCCAACATCTCTCGAGCTTCAGTTGTGCATCGCTGCAGGCTTCCTTCCTGTACAATCACTGAGCGTGGCTTGACAAGAGCGCGGCACTCAGCCTCCACTGCTCAGCCAGGCGATGACGCACAACCCCATGCATGGCAGCACTAGGTTGGTAACTTCCAAACTTGCAACCACATGCAAGTAAAACCGAGTTGCGCAAACAACATGCTCATGCCCACATAGACACACCCTGGATACAGCACATGTCCACCCCTTCAAGGTCCAGCAACGATGCGTCGTCCCCGCCGCCAACCGGTGATTCGAATTCCAACCCGACGTATGCCAGCTTCTCTCCCGCCAACCTAGGCCAGACGACACCGCAATCAAAACTGCGCTCCGCCATACTCGTGCACCAGAAGTCGCCCCTACTTGCGGCTACACCACCACAGATCACTCGCGTGCTCGCTTATTCGCACCCCTTCATATTACCTCTGAACAAGTTTGCTGGGCTGGTGACATGGACGACCGGAGACCCATGGGAGAGCTTTCTCGTGGTCGCAAGCTTTTGGGCCGTCGTCATGTACGGTGATGCCGTGACAAGATACGCAGGGCCCATTATCGTCGTGTCTGGACTGATACTGGGCATGTACACGCGAAGATATTCTCCACTATCGTCGACCGGGTGGACAGGCGAGAAGGGACAGAAGGCGCACAAGCGCGTCGAGTCGGACACCAACATCAAGCATCACAAAAGCCTGGAAGAGATTGTGGACAGTCTGAAGCTCTTCACTTCGCGCTGCAACATCCTACTAGATCCCTTTCTACGCCTCACAGACTTCTTATCCACGCAGAGGACTGCGACGTCGGCTACTACACGTCCGGCGCTCACCGTATTGTTTATCCGAATCCTCTTCGTGTTGCCGCTATGGATAGCACTCACGCTACCGCCCTTTTATATCCTGACTACGAAGCGAGTGGTACTAGCAGTAGGCACAGTGATGCTGAGCTGGCATTCACGGCCAGCCCGCGTAACCCGAACCCTCCTATGGAGATCAAGAACAGTCCGACGTACCTGCGCCTTCATAACCGGACTAGACTTTGGCGAAATCGTGTCAGTAGATAGGAAGGGTGCGCCTCCTCTGCCACCTCGAAAGAAGAGCACGCAGGAGGTTGCAGCTTCATTGGCGGCTAAGCGTCGGCCCGAATCTACAGGCGTACGCTTCACCTTCTCCATCTATGAGAACCAGCGAAGATGGCTAGGTATCGGATGGACATCCTCTATGCTTGCTTACGAGCGAGCATCTTGGACGGATGAGCACCTGAACCCGGTTCCACCTAAAGAACAGTTCGAACTACCTGAAGTTGAAGGAGGTCAGTCGAGATGGCGGTGGGTGCAAGGCAGTGAATGGAAGGTTGAAGGCGCGGAGAAAGACAGCAAGGCTGACAAAGGCGCGTCCAAGGAGGATTCGGCGTGGATATACTACGACAATAAAGTAAGTAGAGTGAATTGGTACAACGTTCTGATTCTAACTTCAACAGTGGAGAGACGGACGAAGAGGCCAAGATGGTTGGGGGCGTTATACCCGCCGTCGAAAATGGTATCGCGACGCCGAGCTCGTCGAATCGACATCATCCACAGATACAACGCCTATGCCCACGCCCAAACCTGGCCCAATTGATACTTCCGGAGACCTTGATCCTAATCAACTTACAAAGCTGTCCTCCAATCTCAGTGTAGCATCCAGTACAGACCCTACTCTAGTCGAGGGTGATGGACGCGAGTATGCCGCATCGATAGCGTCGGATACAGATGCAGCGAGCACAAAGAGTAAACGGAGTTGGTTTAAGAAGAGGCGGAGCAAGAGTACAAGCGGTAGTGTGAGTGGCGTGACAGTCGTCAGCGACACGGGTACAAGTGGTACGCGTAGAAGTGACGAGGACGACATGCAAAGCCCTCTCGATCGTATGGCGAAAGATGAGGAGTGGAGGCTTGGTGATGACATTCGTCAACATCTTGATATCTGAAGTAGTTGGAGCGCTTGATGATTACCTTGACTTGTTGTATGAACATAGTTTTTACATTCCTCCCTGATACGAACCCCATCGATTCCCGTCAAGTGATCTACTATACACCAGTTAAAACGACACATGTGCTGGCCAAGACCATGACCGGGAAAAAGGTAGTCGACAGATTGCTGGAGTCTCCACCTTTTCGCCGCATATCCTGCCTCTCGGTGTGTTGTTGTGGTGCGTCAATATCGATGCTTCATCCGCAGTAGGTAAGTCCAGAAATCAAGCAGATCCATTGACATGTTCACAGCACGTGGGGAGACATGGTTTTCAAGTGAGTGTCCTTATTTCATGATCATATCTCATCTAATATTTCCCAGCAGTCATGGCCCTTGGTATTGGCAGTTCACCCCGATTTCCAACAGTGTTCATTGTTCCATCTCCGAATCGCTCGATGGAAGTGTTGCTGGAAGAGTTCCGAGGCTCAGGGTAGCTTGACGCTTAGTGCTATTCGGATTGTTAGTGCCATTCCAGACCGAAAGGAAGACACCGCGTCGGTATATCTCGAGATGTACTTACGGAGCAGGATCCGCATCCGCAGCTGGAGCAGTCACCAGCGCACTTGCAGGAGGAGCAGTTGCTGTTCGTTTGTTAGCCAGAGCCCCTCCATGTTCCCAGTAGAGTGTCCATCACGGTGCTGGCGCTAGCCCTGAAGCAGCAGCACACCACCGTGTGTCAAACACCAAAGTCGGTCGGAAGACGTACCAGGGGGCCATTTTGATTGGTTGGTTGGGTTGTTGGATTGTTTGGTTGGTTGGATTGTGGAAGTGTTGGAGCGTGATGAGCCATCAAGGTGCTGAGGGCAGACACTTATATAGAGCACCTGGCCACCAGCCCGCGACTTGGTAACGACTCCCTACCCACGCCGCGGTGGAGACCCTGTCACTCGAAATGGTCATGCGCGAGGCGGTGGGGTCCGATGGAGAGTGACATATCGACCTGCTAACCGCCCCATCAGAGCCACCGTCCTTCGAATTCCCGCGGTTAAGCGTACGCCACGCTCGTCTCACACCATACACAACAGACAGCTTGGAGGGGAAGACCATCTGGTTGGTCGAGGAACACCGGTGAATGGCTGGATAGCTCACCCACTGGGTGTGCTAGGTGCTGAGACGTACCGCTCTAGGCTGCCTCTCGCATATATGCCGCACTTACCGGTATACTCAACCGGGCCGGTTGCAGAGGAGCCTTCGTCAGCCTTCAAGCTGATACGAGCATCTCTCGACGGTATTGGCTATGGAGTCACTTGCCGCTGCAACCGTATCAGTGCATCGGGCTCCACGGCACCTTCGCTCTGCTCGAAGCTATAGCCTGACCACTGACAAAGAGGACGCCTCGGCCTTGACTTCCTCACCGTATTCTAGCGCTTGAGTTGACGCACTGCACGTGTGAGACATCATGCAGATCGCTTGTACCTAGGTACGACCCGCTGCTCTGGAGCCTTGAGAGCCATGGGACGGCACGGGCACAGCACCACCAACGTGGGATGATGTTGGTGACCCCTAATCCGGTGCTTACGTCTCAAACGTCCACTGGCTGCATCAGAATCGAGTGGTGGCACTGCATACGCATTCCCCGCTTCTGGGCACTATCTGATTGCGGACTTGGCAGTTCGCGGTATGTTCATGTGAATCATAGTACGGTGCATACAACTCGAATAGCGAGTTCCTAGCTGTGTCCTGTTTCAGTGGGATCTTTGCTGTCAATTACATGCATGTGAATATGCCTGGAAGGACGCGCGACCGAAGTCAAGAATCTAGATCTACACCAAGTTCAAGCGCGTGATCTGATGATGCATCGATGGGTAGCGCTCAATGTAGTATGGCCGAGAAGCCAATCGCGACGGTCCGTCAGTGGAGCTATGATGCAGCTAGTGGGCAACACGTGGGGAGAAGCCTCGCATTTCACTTTACCTAGGTACCTAGGCAAACCTTGGGACCCTGGAAAACGACAAGTGACATGGTACATCATAAGATGTATCTTTTGACTACACTCAACAGCATCTAAGCAATTAGCCACTCCCCATATATGACGTAGTTTCCAATTCGTTGGCGTGTGACCTCGGGAGTTGATGGCGGCTGCGGCGGTACATGGTGAGTTGTAGCTGCTAAGTATGTCATCCCCCTAACACCAGTGGACTCCATACCAAACACCCACCCGGTCCCAACAACTCTTGGAAAGCGATAACATATCAACATAAGAGCGGCAGCCGCGGTTCGCTCAGACTTTGTTGCACATACCAGGTGACTATGATCTTCTAGCAAACCTCCACGCAGAGGACGGCTCCACATGTCTTGTCACCAAGCCCATACAATGATATGGTAGTCTTGCCAGCGGTACATCGACCGCGCCCCTTGATACGTTCGGACTTGACATCCTCAAAGGACCGCACAAGGAAGGTGACGCTCATGTTGAGCGCGAGACTTCTGGTATTGACGGCGTAAGTGAAGCGGATCAGGCATGTGTTGTCTTTGGAGTGAGGCGAGAGCGTACGTAATATCGAGCTGTAGTTGGGAGTCGCAATAGTGCTTGAGTGAGGGAGTGGCACTCTTGAGGATCTCGATGGAAACGATGGTCTGTCATTTGACATGACATCTCCAGAGAGAAAAGAGATCTTACGTATTAGAAACACCGGTGGTGACTGGGCGGTGAACGTATCAGAGCATATGCTTTACATCTTTGACAATCACATACATCTAGGCAACTCATTCACCCTCTTGCGGCTGATAGATTGATTTGCCTTCTATATCCGGCCTTCGTCATACACATGACCCCATATTCCCCGAATGTATTGAGCCGCCTCAAACTGTTTGCTCTCAGCAGCAAGCGGGTTCTTCTTATCAGCGAAAGTGGCCACATACGCTGTCCGGCTCATCTCACACATAGCAGCACCGGCGTCAAGACGTCTGGGCCCTAGCGCTTGAAGGAATTCGTCCACAACCCATTCAAGACCACCGCCCCATGCGGTTATTTCCGGTCTGCCATTGGGCTGCGGAGAACTTCTGAAAATCTCCATCTGTTCTGCAGTATACAGAACGAGTTCATCATCTCCGTATTGACCAATGATCTGCAATCCTACAGAGTTGAAGAATGAATCCGGGACCGTCGAACTCTGGCTCTTTTCCTTGTAAGGAGTAAATGTGGGAAGAGTGATTGCTGGCAGCCCGGCAAGACTAGCTGGTACGGTGAAGACATCGTTCATGTAGGAGTGGACTGGATCCTGATTCTCGACTTCAGCCAAAGACGGTGCCGTTGATGGAGCTGTGGGGCATATGATCACGTCCACTCCTTCTGTTTCTGCCGCGGTTTCTTCGGCATCGAGCAATGGGTTTGGACTGGCAAACACCCTGTTGAAATCTTGTTGTACGAGCCTCCGAATCTTTTGTGCTTGTATGAAGTAATTGTCGATAGCCTGGGCACTTAGTGAAAAGGCTCCAAGGAGTATACGCCGCTGAACCTCCGGACCGAAACCTTGACCCCGGGTTTTAGCAAAGAGCACACTATCTGGTGTACCATCGATGCCCTCGGCTCTACTTCCGAAACGCACGCCGTCGTACTTTGCGAGGTTGCTCGATGCCTCGGCTGGCGCAAGGACGTAGTAGGCTGATAGTGCTTGTTGTGTTGTGGGTAACCGAATAGGGTGCAAAGTATGACCAGCATTCCACAGATATCTGAGTTGGTCAATCCATGCCTTTCGGACAGCGGGCTGCAATGTGTCGATGTTGTAATCAAGAGGAATGCCTATCTTCAACGAAGTTGGTCGCTTCCCTGTACGGAATTTTGCTCGGGTTGTGTTAGGAACGGACGTCGGATCCTGCGCATCGTGGATGTTGACCTTGGCTGGACTCAGTCAGAGATGTGGAAATCATAGTCTACATCTCTATAGACTCACAGAATATGCTCTTCACACTCGCCACGTTCTTGCCAAAGATCCCGACAGTATCCAGAGAGTTTGCATAGGCAATTACACCCCATCTCGACAGCAGTCCGTAGCTCGGCTTAAACCCAATGACTCCGGTATATGCAGCAGGAAGCCGTACCGACCCCCCAGTATCGGTACCTAACGCGCTGCTCGTCTCAGCACACATACTCCGTCCTCGTCGGCTGTCAAACACTTACGCCCAACATTGCGACGACGCGACAGCAAGCGCGCTTCCACCTGAGCTTCCACCCGCACTTGCCTCCTCTCCTTTGTATCTCTGCATCTTCACTGGTCCGAAGTGTGAATGTGTCGAGTGCGATCCCATACCGAATTCGTCCATGTTCGTCTTGCCTACCACCACGGCACCTTCATCTTGCAGCAGCCTCACCACTGTGGCGTCATATGGGCTGCTGAAGTCTTTGAGTATCCCGGAGGAAGCAGTAGTCTTTAGGTTCTTCGTGCAGATGTTGTCCTTTATTGCGATTGGCTTGTCGGCGACGCTGTCGGGTTGGCGGCGGAGGGTACGGGATTTGGAGGCATCGCTGCTTTGGAGGATGGACGCTTCGACGAAGGAATTAAACGCGTTGAAGTGTCTGTACTTCGACTGGTTCGCCAAGTACGTCTTCGCATGCTTGGAGAGGGACATGGAGGGTGGGGCGCATCGCCGGCGCGTTGTCGCGAGTGGGATGTCGGAACTGCACGAGCGGGACAAAAAGAAGTCACGACGTCATGTGATCGGCCTGACTCGCGCGCTCAGCATTGCCCACGATTACAGACACCAACTGACTGCCAACGTCTCCCAGCTCACTCATGAGGTAACCCACAGACTAGAACCTCGGAACACGTCAAGAGGACCGCAAAAGACCTCTCTTCGAATTCTTAGATAACTTCGCCATCACCCCAAGTGAGGGTTCGTCATCCACCGCGGCGACTGTCGTAGCGACGATGCCTGGAATACATTCATCGATAATTTGATCGAGTTTGTCAAGAACGAGCTGCGCCGCCCAGAATCGGGCCATCTCATACAATTGCTCGCACTTACAGTCAGAGAAGACCGCCCTACCCTAGACGATGCGACTGATGCACAGCAATTGTTCACCGCGTGGACACAGCATCGGGAAGCAATAGAAGGACGAAAAACCATCCTACAGAATGGCGTGGGAGGCTCTCCGAGATATGAATACTGCAACCCCGTAGATGCGCGGGCATTTAATGGGTGTCCAAGATACGAGGGGCTGACGGGAGAGGAGCAGCTGCAGTTTCTCAAGGAGAAAGGCGATTTGGCACTCGGAGAGGCGGCATAGCTTGACCTTGCCGAGAAAGCCTTCCCCCGAATTGGCACGAACGAGGGCAATGAAGGCAAAGGAGAAGAATATGAAGATCAAGAGGAGGAAGAGCCTGCCGAAATCAAGCTGCACATGCACATGGTTTTACTCAGATGCGCACACGCATGTGCTCTTTCCAAACATTGATTCATTCAGCACATGGACCAAAGATGCGAAAAGAGATGGTGTTTGCCGATACTGAAGTAGTGTTGGTCTACAGTCCCTGGAGTTAACTGTGATACCAGACGGCACGGCAGCGAGAAGCAAAGGCCCCGACCGTGTCTGAGTTTGTGATTCTGGCACATCAGACTCTGAAGATCTCTTTGGAAAAGTAGAGTGCGCCTCTGGTCCTGGCTCGGGCTGGTTGTTAAGATCGTACTTTATTGAAGATCTCTTCAAGGTACAGTGGACTCAACTTGGCTGATAGTAGAAATATCTGCAGGCTGAATAAAACTTTCTTGGAGTTTCTTTAGACCGTCGCGCAGAAAACACGGCTAAGACCTGATTAGAATGGACCTGGGTTGCGGTTCGTGAACAGTAGGGAGGCCTGCTAGCGCCGCCAGTGCCAACGCTGCCAAGCCGCTGAACAAGATCTCGACCAGCTGAGGCTTGAATTCTAGGCGAATTACAGTTTGTCTTAGCCGGCGATCCAATCTACGCGCTCATTACCTGGTGAATAACACCGAACTTCAAAGCCAGAAACCACCAGACGACGCATACAAAGCTAGAGGATTGTGACAGCTTTGACGTACAGTAGCCTCGCATTGGACGCGATGTTGGACATATTGTAACTCAGAGTCGCACCATGGGAGAGCAACCTACAGCGACAACCCATCAACGCTTCTCACTCCGTATTACATATTTAGTAAGCCCGCAAAGGGACCCTGCCAAGCTGAGCGGTATGTGAGTCGGAGGCTACGCTCTACCAAGGTACCACTCCCGCCACGGGTATGCATTCGATTGGAGTCGCCTATCGCAGCCTTGCCCTTTACAGCATCGCCATCACTGTTTCATTAGACACGCAGCGCCTTCCAAGGGTTTCTCAAACGCCAGGTCTGGGCTACAGACTTCTATTGGCCGATATGACGCAGAAGAGAGAGTTAAGAATAGGGGCACGCGACACGGTATAAGGTGCTCGCGTGCCTAAAACCTGACGCCAAGGAGTGACGAAGCTCAATCTCCAGACCTTTCTTTCTCGCAGTTGACGATACGTTTTGATGGCGGAGAAGATGCAAAGCACGGCAAATGTGTCGAATGACACCAATGGCTCGTCGACACGGCCGCCACTGAAGAAGCAAGAAAGCGATAAAGACTTCGACGACTACTTTGCAAGTCTTTCTCTATAACGACTCGTACAGTCACTAATGCTGACTAGATTGGACCGCGCGATCTTGATCATCACTCCAAGGTAAGTTCTGACTGTGCGAAGGTCATGTGAGACATATACTGACTTCGTACCTCTACCTCTGCAGTGGCCTGTATTTCTCCGCGTTCATGGCAGTGTAACACCTGAAATGGTGCTGCCCTTGCTCTTTGTAGCCGGCTGGTCGAGCATGATAACTTTGATCTCGAAGTTTGTACATGACCGTACGCTAAGCTCTTGTTCTGTTTCCATCCAACGTGTATTGACCACCTCCAGTCAGCGTAAACCAGCTTTTGCTTACTGTACTTGGTTTCGTCGTCGGTCTCGCATTGAGCTTTAGAAGTTCCACCGCCTACGAGCGCTACAACGATGGCCGCAAATACTGGGCACAACTCACTTTCGCGTCCCAAAATCTTGCTCGCCTCATCTGGATACACGTCGATGAACGTCACGAGAAGGACGCCACGCTCGGCAAACAAGACCTACTCGCCAAGATCAACTGCCTCAACTTGATCACTGCGTACGCAGTCGCACTCAAGCACAAGCTCCGATTTGAGCCTCACATGCATTACGACGACTTGAAGCACCTGGTCGGTCACCTAGACACCTTTGCGCGCGACGCCGACCAGCCAGACGCGCACAAGAAGCCGAGCATCTTCAAGACAGCAGGACAGTTCCTTGGGCTGCCAATGGCTGAGTCGAACCCGCGCAAGCTGCTGAAACGCAGTCGTGCCCCCCTTGGCAACCTTCCTCTGGAGATTCTCAACCATTTGAGCGTCTACATGAAGTCGATCTATGACAACGGAACCTTCAAAGTTTCCATCTACCAGACGCAATCCCTCAATGCACTCACCACCTTCAACGATGTGCTCGCGGGCACTGAGCGCATTCTGTCGACCCCGCTACCTCTCGCATACAGCATCGCTATCAGTCAGATTACCTGGGTTTATATCCTCCTCCTACCATTTCAACTATACAAGCTCTTAGGATACATTACAATTCCAGCGAGCGTCTTTGCAGCCTACATCATCCTAGGCATTGCGCTCATCGGCCGCGAAATCGAGAACCCGTTCGGTAATGATGTGAACGACTTGCCCCTGGACGCATTCTGCCTACAAATCAGGAAGGACATCGATATCATCATGAGCAAATCGCCTCCGAGCATTGAGGAATTGGTAATGCACCCGGACAATCAGCTTCTCTACCCGTTGAGTACTCTGGGAAGTGCAGGATGGGCGGCGAAAAGTGTGGACGAGATTAGGGATGCATTGGCCAGCAAGCCTGGTCTGCACTTCCCTCTGGTTGACCACCACGAACACCCCAAGCCGGGTCACTCAGTCAGTACTGGTGCTCGCCGTCGGACGACGAGTGAGGATCGCGCTGAGATGGGCGAGGCCGGACATGGTAGACATAATAGCAGTGCAGGCGACGGTGGAGAATAATTGCATAATGAGTGTAGGCTACGTCGGGAAGACAACACTACCTAGGTATGCACCTTGAATGAATGCATGACATGCCTGTTCGGAAAGCTATGAGAAATTATTCTCTTGTAGTTTGATCAGAGTATGCAAGCATATGTCTAGTAAAAGCCCCCCATGTGCAACAGTGCCCATCTTGCCTTTACAGACCAAGGTTTCGTATCTGAGTCGAGTGTGGGGATCTATGTCAAGGACAACATCATCGAAAATGACACGACAAGAGTCTCTTGACGCTCCCTGCCGTGGTGACAGATGGACCGTGAAGTGAAGTGGCTTATACTTGTATCGTCATTTGGTGAATACGAACGTCGTGCCCCTGTGACGGGAGAGCCAGTAAACCTTACCGAAGTAGTTTGCATGAGCGATCGTAATCATATCGAGGTCATATCCCATTTCAGTTTGCAGTTCTTTCACATACGACCAAAAATTCAAGAGACACAGCGCTTTCTGTCCTCCCAGCGCTGCTCAAGCAGAACACCGGCGGATTAGTAGTTACTGTTGTATGTTTTTGGCCTTCTTTTTGCCCACATGTCCAAATCAGGTCGCATGTATCACTCCTCCGTTGATGGATAGTCAGCCAAATGTTTTTGCAGGATGGACATAGTTTTGCGATAGTAGCGGTTGTTCAGTCTCCTATGGCCGTCGTATTGTGTGTCATGTACCCAAACGCCTCGCTATGCAAATGATATACATCCCAGCTTCTTATGAGAGTGGGTTACTACCCCAGAACTCTACTCGTCCATCTGCCACTGATATTCCAGCTTCTCAATGTTGGCTTTCCTATTCCTCGAATCGAACCACTGTTTCTCGAACCCGTTTCCTCGATCGATACCGTCCCATCGATGTCCTGGGCGGATGTTGTACCGGTTGGGTTGAAACGGTCCTTGGTATAGAGGCTTGCCTGTAATGCTGCGTCCAGCCTTCTTCTTGCGCAAGAAGCCTGACGCAGGGTCGTTCCAATGCCCTCGCTCCTTCAGCTCGTCGTTGAGCTCCGCATCGTCTGCGTATCGGGCGATCGTCATCGTCTTCGCGTCCTGTAGCTGTTGTTTCCTGCGCTCTGCATCTGCGTTTTGTACGTCTCCGCGCGCTGCCTTCTCCTTCTCGCGCTTTTTGCGTTCCTCTTCTTCGGCTTTCTTCCGTGCTTCTGCGCGCTTCATTGCGACGTTGATTATGCGACCGCTGGCGTCTCGGTAGATGGTCTCCTGCGCAGCGCTCCCCATTTCCTTTGCGGCCTCTTCGGCTTTGCGCTTCTCCTCGTCTTGTTTCTTCTTCATGGCTGCTGCGACCTCGGCAGCGCTTTGTAGACCTGCTTTGGCGCCCGACTCCATCCTCATGACACCGTCTGTGTCTACCATCTCCGGCGCTTCATCCTCCGCTTCAGCGGCCTTCTCGCGATCGGCGGCGGTCCCTGCTATGATTGCATCTGCGGCGGCAGCGTCGGCAGCAAGTTGTTCGGCGTGTGAGGGCGCGGCGACGCCTA